GGGGGGGGGGGGGGGGGGGGGGGGGGGGGGGGGGGGGGGGGGGGGGGGGGGGGGGGGGGGGGGGGGGGGCTACTGCTGTTACCATGTTTTCCTGTGTGCCAACCCTCTCTTTATGTCAGCGTTGAGAGTTTGTTGAACAGGGGGGGAGGTTCCGGCAGAGGAGCTTGGCTTATGACCCAAAGGGCATAGTTCTTGTTCTTGGTCATTTGCAAGCGCGGAGGAGGTGAAGCCTGATGCGGTCGAGCATACCATGATCGTCTCGTTGTCCCTCGTGTGCCCCCCCCCCCCCCCCCCCCCCCCCCCCCCCCCCCCCCCCNCCCCCCCCCCGGATATGCGCTTACGCCGCCCAGGCAGTGAAGCGCGCAGAGCGGCTGTCTGTGTCGGCTATAGCAGCTCTGTCGAGCTTTTTGGAGGCAGTGGGGCCAGAGGCGAACTCTGCCTTCTCCCGTCGTCCCACCGGCCATGAAACTGTCGCTCAAGAGGAAGACGAAGAAATCGGTCGCAGCCGTCAGGTGAGAGTTGACTGACGCGAACATGAACGTGCATTGGTGACAAAGCTCGGGTTGTGGGTACCCATCTAGTGGTCGTCGGGTTCTTTTGGAACCGGAAGATGAGGTACTAAAGGTATGCTGGGTGCATCGTTGGTTCGGTCACGCTTTTGCGCGACGTGTTTGCAGGCAAGCCACAGAGGTCGCGCTAACTAGTGTTTAGCATAGAGACTGCTGGCTCCTGTGACAACTGCGGCGGACACGGTATCAATCCCGCCGCCCGAACAGCCATTTACCTGGCTCTTGTGACATCCTGCTTTATTCGCGTGTTGTAGGGAAGAGAGAAGTTGCTGACCAAGAACCAACCTATGTACCTACCTGTGGTGCTCGCTCTCGCTCGCTCACCCGCTCGCTGTTGAAGGAGACGACGTACTTCAGTCTCGTAAACGAGAATCTGTGGGCGCATCTGGGAGACCCCCGAACCGCCGTGCGCCGCGCCATGTACGCCCTAGTTTCGGCCTGCTGTCGGCACGCCCCGGGGCTCCTTAGTCCCCCCCCCCCCCTCCCACCAGCTAAGGCCTCCTCCGGTGATCCTGCCGGGGGGGGCACAACTGAAGCTGTCTCCGACACGGGCGGTAGAAAGGAAAAGTCAAAGAGGCGCGATGGGGGAGGAGTTGCTGGGAACACGTCACGGGTGGCGACGCCGGGTCTGCTGGTGGAGCTCTTGTCGGAAGAAGAGGATTCCAATCACCGGGAGGCTTGGCAGGCGGTCCTGCTGGTGCTGGGGGAGTTCAAGGAGACGTGGATGGCGGAAAAAGGAGCGGCGGTACGCAATTCGTGTTCCGTGCGTCCGTATATGTGTTGTATCGTAGCGACAGGTACCGTCGGTGACGCGGCGGTCCCGGAGCGTTAGACGGCTGACGATGGGCGAGGGTGAAGACCGCATAACATTCGCGTGTTTCGATGCGAAACGTTATTGAACGTTATTGTGAAGTGTTCTTCCGGCCGCTGGGCTCTCCCTACGAGTCCCTTGCCGACACATCTGCTTAAGCGTGACGGATGCCCCCCCCCCCCCCCCCCCCCCCCCCCCCCCCCCCCCCCCCCCCCCCCCCCCCCCCCCCCCCCCCC